CTTTATATAGATGTTTTACCAGCATGCCTGACTGTTGGAGACCTGGGAAATGAATGTCTGCAAGCCACCACATGGCTGCTGGGAAAGTGAGCCCACTTCCTCTTCCACAAGCAGCAAGCGTTCTTAACTACAGAGCGATCTCCCCACTTCCCAGTCAGAACTTACTTCGTCTCAAACACCTCACCTGCAGCCTCCTTCTGTCATTTGAAGGAATCATAGTCTTTCCAGTTACTAAGACCAAAGGCGTTGGAGCCACACGTGATCCTTAACGTGAGTTTTATAACGAAGTCCAGCTTCTGCTGTCGCTCCCCTGAACAGTTATCCACAGTGCAGACATTTCTTGCCCTCCCTGCCCCGAGAGCAGCCCATCTTGGTTAGAATGCCTCAGTGTCTGGCCTGCATTTCTGCAACATTTAACTGGTTCTGCTGCTACCCTTGCCCATCTACTTTCAGTGACTTTAACAAAAACACAAGTCAAAAAGCTGCTGTGCTCCAGCCCGCAGAGGTCCTCATCTCAGATAGGGTGGTGGTCACAGACGGTCACAATGCATGGAGCCCTCCGTGAGCTGACTCCTCTCCAGTCGCCCCTTCTCTGGCTGTCTCTAGTGTCCTGCTAACTTCCTCCTTAGCCTTTGGGTCTTCGAGGCCTCTATTCCTTCTCTCTCCCCCACAGCGTTCGGCCTCATGCCCATGTTTCCTTGCATCTTTGATACCTCACAGCTCTGTTTAAAGTTATAACCATCTGTGGTCTGGAATCCCCCCCCCCCTCCCGGCCTTCCTAATTCTGCTCTGCTGACCACTGCCCTGTCTTTTACCTGCCCAAATGCTCCTCTTTCTCCAGCCCTTGTATATTATAGAAATATAAAGGCAGGGAGGGGTCTCTGTTTTGCACACGATCTTCCCTGGAGCTCAGTTGAAAGATCCCAGAGGATCTTTCAACTCAAAGATGCACTGAGTGACTATCTTAAAAGCCTAGGAGATCTTGAGAGCGGATTTTGCTTAGGAGGAGAGTGGTTACAGGCCTGCAGAGCAACACTCGGGAAGCATCAGGGAGACATCCATCAGAAGACCTGCGTCTTCTACTTTTCTGCCCCTAGTCCAATCCATACACGTCCCGTAAACCCTTAAGCCTGAACATGAATGTCCATCCTGCTTTCGTTTCCTCTATGTATTTATCTAACTTCCCCTTCTACGGGGGAAATTTTCTAATCTAGATATTTCCTCCTTGCGGGATTTACTGATGGGAACTTTAAAACTGTTGACCCTTTCTCTTTTGGAGGAACAAATTCGTCCTGGATATCCTTAGCTTTCACGCTTTCTCCTGCATGTGACAATTAGCTTCCTGATATTCCAAGCCTAGATTTTCCAGGTAATGTAAAATACCCAAGGCCCTTTTATCTATTTCATTTTTCTTTTAAGCGGATTTTTTAAAAATGAAGTTGGCAGATCATATACGAGTCACCAACTAAGAGGAGTCCCTAATATGGTGGGAATTGAAATGAAGCAAAATGTATGACCGTCAGTGAACTTTGTAAATGACTGAAGGCAACAGTATCCCCTCTAAGAATCCAAGCCCTTGGTCTTCTTGGTGATTCCTTGCAAAGCTGGCATGTTGCCCAGCATCCCACGCTATAGCACTGCCTTTGTTTTTTTTAATTTATTTATTTCTTTATTAATTAATTAAAGATTTCTGTCTCTTCCCCACCGCCGCCTCCCCTTTCCCTCCCCTCCCCCAATCAAGTCCCCCTCCCTAGTCAGCCCAAAGAGCAATCAGGGTTCCCTGCCCTGTGGGAAGTCCAAGGACCACCCACCTCCATCCAGGTCTAGTAAGGTGAGCATCCAAACTGCCTAGGCTCCCACAAAACCAAGAGGTGCAGTAGGATCAAAACCCATTGCCATTGTTCTTGGGGTCTCAGTAGTCCTCATTGTCCGCTATGTTCAGTGAGACCGGTTTTAACCCAGGCTTTTTCAGACTCAGGCCAGCTGACCTTGGTGAGTTCCCGATAGGACATCCCCATTGTCTCAGTGATAGCACTGCCTTTGAAATGCCCTCTTCTTCCCACAGCCTGTTTAAGAGCCTTCTGGTGGATTCTGGGGATGAGATTTTTTTTTTTTTTTTTAAGAGAGTTAACACAGCAGGCTCAGATTTGCCTTGCTTTAGAAAGATGCTACCACGGCTGGCCTGTGACTTATAAACAAGAAGCATTTTCTCTACAACTGTTCGCTGCAGTGGGAGTGGCCCAGTGGATAAAAGTGTTCTGTTGGGTGAGACCTTAGCAACCACGTGATTGATGTGGATGCTTGCTTTCTTTCTAGGTTTCTGGCAGGCCCAAGGAACCAGCGAGACAGCTCCTCTGCTCCCTGTGGAAACCTTACAGTTTCTCCAGCCTCTGGTCAGCTTCTGCTGGAGGCTGCCTGAGACACGCACTGCAATTTCACAGCTATGCTCTCGGTGGGGAAGCCTTGATTAGACAGTGCCACCTGCTGGCTGTCCCTTCCTCTTTTTTTACCGCATTGAATCCCAGTCTCTCATGCTACTGTAAGCTGAGGACTGTGAGTCCTTCTAGTGAGTCATTAGACACACGGGAGGTCTGGAGGCCCTGAAGCAGTGGACAGAGTGTCAGATACCTTTCCACTCCTTAATGTCCTGAATGAATGATGACTGGACTCCAAGCCTTACCAATTTTCAGAAGTCAGGCTTGAGCCATTTGTGAAGATTTCATACTAAAACTATGCCATACTCAGAGGCTTCACTGAAGCTGGTGTCTAGGACAGAGCTATCCATATAGTAAACTTGAGAAGTGTTAGGATTGTGGGTTCACTGTGGAGACACAAGCCTGATATCTCAGGACTTGAGAGGCAGAGGCAGCAGTACATTCATAAGATCAAAGCCACCCTGGGCTACGTAGTGAGTTCTAGGTCAGCCAGGGATGTACAGTGAGGGTTTGTACAGACAAAACAAAACAAAAAAGTAAAAAGTACAATAAAAATAAACACATGGAAAAGAAATTCTGAGATCTAAATTCAATGAGTTAAATTTACCAGAGGGTAAAAAGAAATTAGGAATAAGAAATATGATTTTATATGTGTAGAAAAAATAAGTTTATGAAAATTAAGTATTTAAGAGAACATATATTAGTTACTTTAATTAGTCTAATATTTATTTAGCCTTACTATGATAGTAAGCAGATGTCTTACACTTTGATTTGTTAGGTAGCGGAATCTCCCAGGGTGTTAGAGTCTTCAAGCAGACATCTACAGACTCAAATGCCCAGAAGAGTGTAATATTATATAGACATCCAGAGCAGCCTATGAAGAAGATAAGTCTCACCACGCTGCTCACACATCCTTAGTTACCAACTTTAAACTCTTCTGGAAGCATTATGAAGTGAAAAATAGTCAGGGGTACTCACAATGAGCGGGTTTTCAACATATTGAATCTTCAAGCACTTAAGGAAGATCTCAACGTGATTTTGTTATTATTAACGAATTCTACTATGTGGCTCATGGACAAAGGATCAATCGTATGGTGTGTGTGGGAGGGGACTAAGGTGAAATCAAACTGCACCCTTATAGCAGACTATCACTGTACTGACTGTTGTGTGTCAGCTTGGCACAAGCTGGAATCACTAAGGAAGAGGGAGGTTAATTGAGGAAATTCCTCCGTAAGATCCAGCTGCAGGTATTTTCTTAATTAGTGATCAATGAGGGAGGATCTTATGTAGGTAATACCATCCCTGGGCTGATGGTCCTGGGTCCTATAAGAGAGCAGACTGAACAAGCCATGAGGAGCCAGCCAGTAAGCTTGCCCTCTATGGCCTCTGCATCAGCTCCTGCCTCCGGGTTCCTGCCTTGTGTGAGTTCTCACTGTGTTGGATGATGAACTGTTACGTGGATCTCTGAGTGAAATAAACCCTTTCTCCCCCATGTTGCTTTTGGATATGGTGTTTTATCACAACAGTGGTAACCCTAAGAACAGTTTGGTAGCAGGATAGTGATGGACCTGGACGTGTTGTTTTGAAGGGGATTGTGAAGGACCCTGTAACTTTGGGCTAGGGGAATCATTGAGTGTTTTGTAGGATCTTGGAAGGAAAGAATGCAGAGAGCAGTGCGGAAGATGGAGGCCTGGCTTGTGAGGTTTCAGAGGAAAGCAAAGACTCTACCGAACTTTTTGTGCAAGGAATCTGTAGTTCTGGTTGGCTGGAACTGAAGAATCTGCTGTGTTTAATAAGACACCAGAACTACCAAAGTGAAACCTCTGCTTTGCTGGGATACTCAATGCTGGTCAGCGGCAGCTGAGAAATTTGCAGTGATTAAGAAGAGACCAGCACCGCTGAGGTTTCTGGAAAGTGTTTCCTGAGAGTCAGCACACAGAAGCTGTGCTCCAGATGTGACCAAGGTTGTGTCTTGTGTTGGCGGCTGAACTTGATAGTGGAAGAGCCACGCAGATGGTGCCCGTTTTGGGAGGTGTGAAGGAGTCACAGAGATTAACGGATGCCTGGAACTGCGTGTCAGGGATGGAGTCCCTGAAGCCAGCTCAGGAAAGGCCACTGTTAGGCCATTTGCAGCAAGGAACCCTAGCGGTTACGGAGATGCCAGTGTCAGGAGATGACTCCCAAGGCTAGCAGCAGCAGCTGGAGCCTAGAAGACAAGCTCTGTGTTCTGCAGAGGGCAGAGATGGAGAAGTGACCCAAGCCCCTTGGCCCAGAGATCATGAGTTCACAGACAACTAGACACTGACTTATTTATACTGTCAAAGTTTGGTTTTGCTTTGTTCAGATTGTGACGGTACCCTGGTTCTTCGCTCTTGAAGTAAGAAAGCATGCAACTTAATGTTGACTTTTACAGAAGCCCGCGGTTGAGAGATTTTGAACTTTTAAAAGAGCCCGCCCTTCTCCCTGCCAACTGCACACTAATGTACCACAGAACTCTTAGCGCCCAGTCAGGAATCATTTGGAAATCCCTGGCGACGAAATATTGTAAGATGGTCCTTTACTTACTTCAGGTCAAGGGGAGGCTTAATGTTTCTGGGGGGTAGGCTTGGGACTGGCGGCTGTGTTGGGTGAGACGCTGGCAGTGGTGGCTGACTGCCTGGATGGGACGTTGGCGGTGGTGGCTGGCTGCTTGGATGGGACGTTGGCGGTGGTGGCAGGGCAGTTGTTGAGTAAGGTGTCTGACTTTTGCTGGTACCTAAGGAGCAAAGGATGGTAAATTAAGACAAATCGTCAAAATATAAGAACTTGCCATTCCAAATATGCAGGCATAATCGGGTAGAACATTAGACATATAGCCCTTGTTAAGTGAATGCTTTAAAGTATCCAATATTTTATGTATATTACCTTTTCTGAGCTTTTTTTTATAAACCTTAGTTTTAACACTCTTGACTTTGTGAACAATTCTACATCAACTTTGTACACATTCTTTATGAATTTAGAAATACACTTTATTTTTTTCCATTGGATTTGTATTTTAGACCAAAGAGACCTAGTGTTCAAATCTATTTTCACAGGCAACACACTTGTTTTTGACAAGCTCTTTGAACTTTTAACAAATTATATTTTGTTTGGGCTATGGTTTTTAAACCTGGAAGACTTTTAAATCATCCCACAAGTAAATAATACACATTGTTAAAACTATAAAATGATATTAAGAACATTAAAGTAGGAATTTCCCGTTTTCCCACCACCTAGCAATGTATACTAAATTGTATGCATTTCTGAGCATTTTGAGGCAAATGCATGACACCTCTCAGTTCCAGTATATTGTCTCTGCTCAGTTTTTTTACTATGACCATGTGTCAGCTACGCTGGCCTGGGACTCACAGAGATTCACTTGTCTCTGATTCCCAGCTGCCCGAGTGCTAGGATTAAATGCACACGCTAACACACCCAGCTCTCTGCTGCTTTAAAATTCTGCAACATCACACTCATCCCGGGATTTCTCTTTGCCAGCAAGATGACGATGACTCTGATATTTTAAGATAATGTTCTGTGGGGAGGAGCATGGCACTGAAGTGCATGGGGCTAAATCAATTGTTTCCTGGTTACATTTATAAAATGTAATGATGGTGCTACCTTATAGGGTTCTGTGGATGTTATGGCCCAACATTTGTAAAACACTTAGGATAGTGTCCTGTGGAGAGTAAGTTCAATGTTTTATTTTTCATTTAATAAGTCTTTGTAGAACGCCTACAATATGCCAAGTTCTATTCTATGTACTAGGAATACAGTAGAGATACATCAGACAACAATTTCTTAAGGAATACATAATAAATACATTTAATCTATATAAACTGTCATATAGATTGTGATATGCACAGTGAAAGGTGGGAATACTGGGTAACTGGGGGTGACTGGCATTCCCTCTAACCCTACATGTAATGCCCTGACCTAGGTAGACTGGAATTCGACCATGTAAGTACATGTTTTTTTTTTTTTTTTCCCACAGAAAGCACCAGGCTTCACCCATGATTTTCTGGACTCTTTATTTTGAGAAGGTGATAGATGAAATTTAGGCTTAAGTGTGCCACTTCTCCAACTATCATATTAGGTCTAGCATTGCATCAAAAGAAATATTTTAGTATTTAATCAAATATTTATAGTTATTTTCTTAGTCAAATATTTATACTTATTTCTTAATCCACCAAAACACTCATTCTCTTCATTCATAAATAAATGAAGTTCTCACAGATACCTTTATTACCTAATTCTTCATTTACTTTCTGGCTTGATAGTTTATGCTTTAAGTGTTGGCTCCACCTAGTTTCATTCAATACAGTGTTTGTGTCTCTTCCTGCTTTGTGGTAGCTTTTTCTTTGAGAGGGAAAGAGAATGTCATCTTGAAAAATGTGTTAATTTTACATCAATTAGTGAAATGTTTCCATGTTTATAGTTATGTTTCTTTTAAAATGCTTCATCTATTAAATTCTTCATCTTTGCTTTACATATCATTTGCTTGTTCTCATTAATTTATACAATGTCTTTATTAGGAATATTATTCTAGAGAGATGGCTCAGTGGTTAATAGCGTGTACTGCTCTTGTAGATGACTGAGTCTAGCTCCCAGCACCCACCTTAGGGCAACTCACAGCTAACTGCATCTCCAGGTCCAGGGAATACTCTTCTGAACTCTGTTGCCGCCTGACTTCACACTTGCATTCATGTACATATGCACACACACACACTCACACACCACACACACACACACACATATACACACACACAATTGAAAGTAAAACTAAAAACTTTAAAACAGTGGTAATCTTTTTGTTCCTCACATGAACAGGACTGAATATGATTTTGCTGATTTAACTCTTGCTTCTGTCTGTTCATATTTTTTAAAAATATCTAAAACTGACCTTGACCACAAAACATATCTGAACAACCTTTGACAAGAGCACAGCCTTCTATCAGTTTGAAAGTATGTAAGGGACTGATTCAAACTGATCAATACCGAATGAAGTACTTTCTCTTAACTCATAATCTTATAGAACCATTGTGGTCTATGCTGCCTTGTGTTGACTGACATGATTTCATATGGCCCACGACTATGTTTATTAATTAGCAGTGGCTCTTTCACCAGAACATAAGTATTAGATTATTGGGCAGATGAAAAGATGATTTGCTATTTTAATAGATAAGTGACTTATAGTCAAAGAGAAAAAGCTGCTGTGAAAATTAATAAATAAAACCAACAAATCATATTAATATGATTTATAAATAATATAAAATAAATACGACAAAATTAATAAATAATATTAATAAATGGATAAAATGTTTGTTAGCCATCTGTGACTTATATTTCACAGAAAGATTTCATCAAGCAGGAGCCCTTTTCATATGCAAGTGAACTAAGACCTGGAAGTGAGATGCTGCAGACAAGAGCTGGGCAATGCCAGTCCTCTGAACTGGAAGCACGGGGAGGTCGTACCCAGAACCCTCTAGGCCTCTCTGAAAAAGCATCTCTGGTAGACACTGGCTGTTCTGCTTGCCTATCCTCCACTTGCTGTCTGTTGGTTATAACAGCCAAGGTCATTTTGGAAGGGCACGCTTGCTTTTCCATTGAACTTGGAGCAGAAAGGGTTGAGTTTCAGGTAATGGCATCTTGTGGGGCAGCAGGACGGGGCTTGTCTGAGAGGCCATCAAGACCAAAGGAGGGCAGGACTCAGAGACAGAGAGAAACAGACTGGGTTTGAAATGAAGGCGAGCTTTGGGAGATTGTTAAAAAGGAACTGTAAGACTTAAGGAGGCTCTGACTGTTCCCACTCCTCATCAGATGTTAGCATCTTCCAGGGCACTAGGAAGCAGTGGTGAAATAGTTTGCTTTGCAAAATCTGTGGTCACTTTCAAATACTGCAAAAACTCATTTACATGTATGAAAACTATTCCAAAGCAAAGCATCTTTGTTTTCATGGGGGCAAAGAAACAAGTAGACTTAACTTCAGTATATGTGGCTGACTCTGGTATCTCAATCTTAGAGGCTTTATGAAACATAACAAATATTTGAGATTCTCAAACACTGTTTTCTTGTGTTAGGAAGGGTATAGACATTGAAGTACAATAAAATAAAGAGAGATAGATATAAAAATATACCAGCAGGTAATGTCAGAGTCAAAATTCATTCCTCAGTTTGAGCCAGGGACCCTATTAGGCATTGTCTTATGTCTTATAACAACCTTGGGATATATGCTATCATTTAGTTTCTATCTAGTGTTAAAAACTGTCCAACTTCAGAGCTAGTAAGCAATGAAATGGAGACAAACCAACCACGGTCATTTTCTTTTCTTTTTTTTTTTAAATTTATTTATTTATTAAAGATTTCTGCCTCCTTCCCGCCACTGTCTCCCATTTCCCTCCCCCTCCCCCGGTCAAGTCCCCCTCCCCCGATCAAGTCCGCCTCCCTCATCAGCCCAAAGAGCAATCAGGGTTCCCTGACCTGTGGGAAGTCCAAGGACCACCCACCTCCATCCAGGTCTAGTAAGGTGAGCATCCAAACTGCCTAGGCTCCCCCAAAGCCAGTACGTGCAGTAGGATCAAAAACCCATTGCCATTGTTCTTGAGTTCTCAGTAGTCCTCATTGTCCACTATGTTCAGCGAGTCCGGTTTTATCCCAGGCTTTTTCAGACCCAGGCCAGCTGGCCTTGGTGAGTTCCCGATAGAACATCCCCATTGTCTCAGTGTGTGGGTGCACCCCTCGCGGTCCTGAGTTCCTTGCTCGTGCTCTCTCTCCTTGTGCTCCTGATTTGGACCTTGAGATTTCAGTCCACGGTCATTTTCTTGTGTTTCTGCCCTTCCTGCTATGCTCTCCTGCTTTTCACAGGAATGAAACTGAAAGGGGGTTGGTGTCCTGGAGAGTCAACAAATGTGTGAGTAAGGTCCCTCACAGCCCACCCCTCTCTCATCCGTCTGGCTCGGATGAAGGAGCACACAGCCGGGTCATGAACTGGAGGCTTCAAGGGGAGGTGAGGAGATGCGATGGACATCTTAATGATAAACCTAGCAACCGATGGCAAAAGTAGAGGAGGAATGACTGTGTCTACTCTGAAAAAGATTAAGAGTAACTACAGAATGTTCTAGAACGTGGAAATAGCTTTCAAGCATCTAAGAAGCTAACCACCCTCGTTCCAACTTTTTTTTTTTTTATTCTTTTAATTTCCAAAGTTGAGAAGCGACCTCGCACAGGCCGTCTCCCTCTGCTGTAGCTCACCTGGCTGGCTGGGACACTGGGGCCGTTTTGTCAAAAGGAAATGAGTGGGGAAGGCCTTCCATGAGTCCGGGGGGGTTCAGTGTCATCCGGCCCTGCCCTTAAGGGTGATCTCAGATGATAGCAACGCAGTATATCTTATGTGATGAGATTAAAATGTATAAATAGAAAAACAGAATCTTTCCTGCTAAATTAATTATGCTTACTCCTGGCTCTAATGGTAGAAAATTTTAGAATTTAGTGACTAGGAATTGAAAGTTTAATTCTCTGTAAATCCACCCTCGTGTGTCCAGAAACAGACACCACATTCACGTTCTTGACTTTTAGGCACGCCAAAAGAAATTTTCCTAAGCATCTGTGCATCTCATAGAGAGAATATGTGCTGGAGTCTGGAGACTTGACCTTGTCAGAATGAGCATTTCTCTGCCCTAAGACACAGGGCAGCTTAGTTTGCTCCTGTGGGTTTTCATTTGGTTTTGTATTCTCAGC